ATTAAGGGTAAAGTGAAAGGTTCTGGTTCGGCAGGGATTTGGGTTTTGATGTGTTTTTACACGCTGCGGCCCGCTAGCTGTTAGCTCAGTTTATCACCACGTTGTTAACAGACTGAGTCCTGGCCGGATAGTTTGAACTTTTCTAAATCGTCTTTATCTGGCTATTTAAAACAGCTAGGGTTCGTTGTTGTTTCATAGTTGGTTCTGTAGCAGTAGAAAGGTGAAGACGAACCAAAGCCCAATCTCGTTTAGGTTTCGTTTAATGACGGATTTAAATGTTTTTCTGATGCGATGTTCAGGCATTTCATCAAAGACTTCAGAGTTAAACAGCTCTGTTTGTCTGCGTGTTATTTTAAGGTGTGCTTTGATGTTTTAGCAGAAGAAGCAGAACACCGGCAAAGGTGGAAAGAAGAAGAAGCAGGTCCTGAAGTTCACTCTGGACTGCACCCATCCTGTGGAGGATGGCATCATGGACGCTGCCAACTTTGTGAGTTCACCTCGTCGTTTCCAGCTGAACTCTGAGAAACAGGAAAGTTTGTTGTTTCTGGAAGTCAAAGGATGTGAAGTCAATGCTCGGGCTGCAGAACTCATCAGGTTTTGATCTTAATCGTAATTTTAGCTTCATGTGAAAACTTCTTCTCAACCCCAACAGATGTTTGTTTACAAACAAAACAAGTTCCTTTATGTTCTGCGAGTCCAGTTTCACACCCACAGTGGGATCCCAGCTTCGACAACAAATGCTCTAAAGTGTTTTTGTTTGTTTACTGCACATGTTGTTTGCAGATTGTTGTCTGGGAAAGTAAATTTAAAAATCGAGGGGGACGCTGCAGCTCATATTTGAATACTAAACAACGTGATGTTTCCCCTCAGCGTGTCCCTGAACGGACAGACTCTTGTAGACCTGACCTCCTGCAGCCTGAAGAGGACCAGTGGTTTTAGTCGTCTTCAGGTCCAGATTAACTCCTAAACCGTGGAACCACCAAAACAACAAAAATGCCTCCAGTTTGGCACCATTTCAAATTAAAGCATAAATTATCACGAGTGTTTTTATTCTGGGAGTCGGCTCAGTCTGGCTGTGGATCCAGTCTTGGTACTAAAATATTTAATAATTCTATAAATGACCTAATTACAACAGTGTCGTTTAAAAAGTACGATTATTTTATTTCCTCCGTTCTGTCAGCAGACACTTCATGTTTTCATGCATCACAAAGTAAAGAACTCCGTTTTTGTTTCCAGGAGCAGTTTCTGCAGGAGCGCATCAAGGTGAACGGGAAAGCCGGTAACCTGGGCGGGGGGGTCGTGTCCATCGAGAGGAGTAAGAGCAAGATCACCGTTTCCTCTGAGGTGCCCTTCTCCAAACGGTGAGGACCAGAACCGCTTCTTAAATCAAACGGGTTCTCTGAGTCTGCATGTTGGGGTCTGAGCTGGTCTTTGGTTCTGCGTTGGGTCGTTGAAGTCGTTTTGGGCCGTTTAAAGCTCCGTCGTCTCTGATCCAGAACTTCTTTGTGCCGACAGAAAACAGTCTGTAGCACAACGCTGCCGTTTTATTTTGAAAAGAAACGTCACGGGTCTGATTAGAGATTAAAAGGAAAGTTAATTTATTTATTTTTATCATTTGGCTTCATGCAACAAGTTTGTAGTGTTGGTTTCTCTGCATCTGGTCTGCTAATCGTTCGTCTGTTAGCAAAATATCTGCTGGACACATTTTATTGAAACGCCGAAGCTCTATAACTTTTGGGGGTTGCTGGTTTAAGATGGCCGCCACAGACTTGAATATGATGTTGGAATTACAAGAATGGCTCTAAACTGGTTTAAATCATATTTATCTTCTGATAGATTCCAGTTTGTAAATGTAAATAATCTCCATCATACACCAAAGTTAGTCATGGCGTTCCTCAGGGTTCAGTGCTTGGACAAGTACTCTTTACCTTGTATATGCTTCCATTAGGTAAAGTTATTAAACAGTATGGGATAAATTTTCAGTTATGCTGATGATACAGTTATGAATCCAATCAAGCTAAAACTGGTAAAATGTTAGCTAAAATGCTAGCTTAAATTTAACAGTGAACTAAAGGTCAGTGTGCTAGTAAGCGGAGTCCTCAGGACACGTTCCTGGTTGATAGGCGATGTCTCATGGAGCAGCAGAAAATTTTAGCTGCTTCTGCCGAACAGCTGGAGCTTTTTGTTGACATTTCTAAATACTTTTAAAGACAAACGTGTGCGTCAAAGGTTGGTCCGGACGTGTCGGTCCACGCTTCCTGTTCCGACGTCCACCTGTGGAGACGTTGACTCTGGTTTGTTTGTTCCTGCAGGTACCTGAAGTATCTGACCAAAAAGTACCTGAAGAAGAACAACCTTCGTGACTGGCTACGCGTCGTCGCCAACACCAAGGAGAGCTACGAGCTCCGCTACTTCCAGATCAATCAGGACGAGGAGGAGGAGGAGGATGAAGATTAAACCGGCCGCTCCCATCAGTTTTGTAGGTTTAAATAAATTGTTTACGAGACTGAACTTTTGCTTCCGGGCTTTTCTGATCCAAACATGAAGGGGAAGTGTTCTGTTGGTTCGTTTCAGTCAAAGCAGGTTAAACTGGTGAAAAGTTTACCTGTGTCAAGATGCTTAAAACCGATCCGTCAGCTGAGCTGCGGTTGCCATGGTAACGAGTCCAGCATTGTATCAGAGCTGGTCCCTCAGACTTTCTGAGGACGTTTGTTTCTGGTGTCAAAAAGCAGCGACACCCGACCAGTCGGGTTTCTTCTCTCAAACTGGGACTTTTATTTTGTAGTAATCTAATCTGACGGAATGACCCGTGTCTTGGAGCGGCGTTGTAGAACAAACTGCATCTAAATCTGTTTTTATACGTTCTGCTCCGGTGGGGGGTGAGATTATGACGTTAAAGCTGCTGACGGTGTCTCGTCGGGTCACCGTGGTAAATTCAAGTTCGCCTCACGTGGCACATGAGGTGGAACGAATTGTGTGCACAGGGTCCCAGTTACATCCAACTATAGCAAAAATATAAATTGTAAAAATCGTACCGTATTTTCCACCGTGCACGTCTCATCGGTCCATATTTGTCTAATAAAGTGGAAAAATCCATAAATACGTCGCATCTATTCCACGTCGCAGCTGACGACCCAGAAATATGGACCGGTGTTGTGCCAAAAATCGATGGGCCGCAAAATGGCGAAGCGTGTACAGGAAGAATTTAACTAGATTAACACTTCAAAATTATTTGTTTGCTTTAAGTTGTAGTAAATGTGTGTTTCAATCTAACGTTTGCTTAATAAATGCACTTTAAAGGTCAAATCAGCTGCATTTCAAAAATAGTTTTGCTGCTGAGGTGCTCCCAGGAGCAGATGGGGAGGAGGAACGCTGCTCGCTTAATCGAAATTTAACAAGAAAAGCCCGTAAACAATTATTCGTTTGCCCGAAATTATAGCAAAGGTGTCTCAGTCCATCGTTTGCTTAATAAATGCACTTTAATGGTCAAACCAGCTGCATTTCGCCTGGTTTGAGTCGATCCGAGCAGAATGAAGGCGGGGAGGTATGGCAGGCTGATCGTATCATTAAAAGCCGAAGATTCTCAGTCATCTAGGACATGGTCAAGTTCATGGAAAAAATATAAAGTCCAGTTGTTTTTGTCTTTTTGTCTGAACATCATTACAGCCACGTTTACATGATACAACAGCATGCCATACATACACCTGCTCTGCTGCCATCCAGTGGCTGAGAGTGGTGCTGCTCAATTTTCAGTCGGAATGAATGAAAACTCAAATCAAGACAAAAATTGGTTCATAAATATGGGAAAGATCAATAAATGTATCGCTTCGGCCTTTAAGCCGCAGGGCATGTAAATTATGCAGAAAAAGTGACTTCTAAAGCAGCAAAAGTGGTAATAAAGATCTTATAAAGTAAGAAATACGTTGAACACCAGTAGTGCAGCAGCACGAACATGTAACACCTGACTCACTCTTAATAAGACGGGCAAAGCAGAACTCAAAGTCAAAAATTAACTGTGGGCCGAGTTTTACTCTCAGCTGAACACCATCGATGTCTGGAAGAAGTTTTAGCTCGGTGGTTGACGTCGTACGAAGTTCTGCTGATGGAGCTTCATGTTTTCACCTACGGTGGTTTTTAAAGTTAAAGATCACAACAGTGAGCGTCTCGGAGCTTCGGTCATCTTTAATTAAACCCAATTTGACTGAAATTCAGAAAGAGTTTTGAAGTTCTTCAAAAAGTGGATCTTCAAGTATTTAAACTTTCTGAACTAATAAAATTTAATTTAGAAACTAAATGAATTTCTGTTTCAGTTCGAAATGATTTTCTGAGATGTTTGGAAACTGATCAGCTCGAGGGTCTTCTGTTAAACTAGTCGGGCAGAGAAGGAATAAAAATATCTTAAGTTCTGCTCAGAGGTGGCCCGACCCGTGTTCTGACCGACCCGTGTTCTGACGGCCCGTGTTCTGACCGACCCGGCGGTGACATGCAGGTATTTCACGGAGTCGTTTTATACGATGCTTTATTCATTGCAATGGAAAACAAACAGCGTAAACAACAGAACAGGACAAACAGAACTCCCCCGCTTCGTTAAAAATAAAAACTGCCTGAAAACTTCGGATCGGCTCCAGACTGGAAGTTCTGACCCGCTTGTTGAACCCGCTTTGAGCGTAGGAAAAGTTCAAAATGAAAGAAACGACGTGAAGGTGACGGACTCCGAGGTCTGAGGTGCATCCTGGATGCAAACACTGAGCGGGGAGGAATGTAACTTCAGGCGGTGCACGAGCTCAGAACCTCGCGGTTCTGATTGGGCCCAAACTGTCGGAACAAATACAAAATGATCCCCGTAACCTGAACGTGGACGTAGAAAAGGGTCCAGGTTTTGGAGCGTTGGTCTCTGAAACCCCCTCAGAGGGAAAGTCTGAAGGTTCTGCTTTAGCACCAGAAAACACGACGAACAAATTCAAACGAAGACGACGGAACCAGAACCAGAACCGGGTTTTTAACTGAAAACTGGAACTTTCTTAGTGGGAACCACGCAGCTGAGAGTGACGAGCCGGTTCTTTAAAGGTGGATCATCCGGACCTCCCGTGGGTTTTAGAGTCCGAATCGGTGTGGAACCAGTGGGCTGGTGGTTGGGATGTTTGGTGCCGTCCCGGCGGTTCTGCTCTGGGTCAGATGGTCCGGGGGTTGTACTCCGGCAGCTTCTTCAGCTTCTCCTTTTCCTGCTGGGAGTCGTGCCGAGTGATGACCAGAGAGTGGGAGTAACCCATCACCACCTGCACACACGGTAACACACGGCTCAGGAACAACTCGGAGAACATTACAACTCTGGTTCTGACCCAGAGCTCAGTCCTGGTAGATCTTCTGAGGGGGGTTCTGTGGGGAGTTATTTCATTTAAATAAAGTCATGAATCTAGAGCAGCGTCTGTTAGCCCTGCCGCCTCGCAGCCTTTCACTTCCTGCTGAAGGTTTTGTTGTTTACGTGGAGTTTACATGTTCTCCCTTTTCTCCAGGTGCAGGAAGTGACGACCAAATGAAGCTTTTCTGAAGCACTGAAGCTTATTTTGAAACACGGTTCATTACTCGAAGCTCTTCAGCAGCAAAGGTCAAAGGAAAAGTTTAAAAGACAGTGGTGAGACCAGCTGTGCTGTATGTTCTGGAGGCAGAGACATGGACAAAAAGACAGGAGACAAAACTGGAAGTGGCAGAAATGAAGATGTTGAGGTTCTCCTTAGGAGAGACAAGGATGGAGAAGATCAGGGATGAGATGATCAGAGGTACAGCACAGGTTGAACAACTGGGAGACAAAGTTAGAGAGGACACACTGAGATGGTTTGGACATGTCCAGAGGAGGGACAGTGGTTTGGACATGTCCAG